CACTTGGCCGATTGCGACTGAGCAACGGTTGAAGGCCGGAAAGTGCAGCGCCTTCATTAGGAAGTCGGCCGGCTGTTTGGTGGTCGGGATGTACTTCAGCACGAACTTCTCATGCTTCACCATGTGTTGCACCCAGGCATATCGCTGCTCCATGTGCTTGAGGTTGCCCTTCAGCCCCAAACCTTCGGCCACCGTGATGGCCGACTTGTTGTCCACACGAAGGACAGTCCGCGTAGCAACTAGAACTCTGCAAGGAGGAAGTGAAGTCTGCGTACCTCCTTGCCGGCGTCCGTGGCCGCGATGTACTCCAACTTTGTCGACGAGAGCGCCGCGCACTTGATGCGCTCGCTCGACTAGGAGATGGCGGCCCCTCCGAAGATGGTGTCCCAGGGGTCACATTCCGGCTGGATGTCAGGTGGAGGTAGAGTAGGTGCAGAGCGGCGGAGTGGGCGACCAAGGGGAACAATCGTAGGTTCTGCTGTGTCGTCTGTATCTTCTTCTTCCCCCCTTTGGTCCTTGCGGGAAGCTCCCCACCCTTCACCGGAAGTGCCCCAGCCGCCTGTTTCGCCGCCAGAGTTGGCGCCCCAGCCGCCGGTGTTGTCGCCAGTTGCTGGGTCAGTGTCGTGAAGCCCCAGCTCGCGCGGATGTGGGTGATCTGGTACCCATGGGCGTCCATCAGGATGCTTCCAACCACGGCAATGAATATGTTCAAAGCACAGGGGAACGAGGTCGATCAGTTCCTGCGAGTCGCTGCTGCAGTTGGGAATGTCGAAATCGAGAACGTAGACTCCGTTCTCGACGTGGGCTCGTCCAATCTGCTTCCGCGTCTTCTTCAGCATCGTGAAGTGGAGCAGAATGTCGCGTATTTTGGGATCGGTGTTGAGGTCAACTCCGCAATCCATAAGCTGCGCCGCCGAGAGAAGATTGAAGCGCAGATTCTGAATGATTAGCACGTCGTTCAGCGTAATGTGTGTCCGGCTCCCGTGTGCTTTGAGTACAACGATGCCTTGCGTGCTTGCGCGCAGGCGCGTGTTGTTCACCACGGTGACGTACGTGACGGCTGGGGTGGCAACGGCGTTGGATATGTAATGCTCGGAGCCCACCATGTGTTGCCCACAGCAGCTGTCCAGGTACCACGTGTTGTAGCGCCTGTTGTCGTTACGTGCGAGCAGCGCCAGTCGCGGAGTAACGATGTGCAGTGTGTCGACCTTGAGGAATTGTTCGCGTGCGATCCAATCGATCGGTGCCGGCCGCATATCACGTACGTGCGGGGGACTTTCAAGCAGCGGGACTGGTAGATTCCAGTCCTGTTTGTCGTCGTCGCTGAAGTCGTGACGCGTGCTGAACGGATTATTGTTCGAGAACGCTCCGATTGGGTGAGGCGCTGGCTCAGGTGACAGTGAGCGTGCGCGCGGACGACGGGATCTGCTTGTCATTGTCATGTTCCTCATGACGTTGCGGATGGCCGCAGTCTGTGACGGCTGCTGCTGCTGGTGCTGAGCTGTTGAGTTCAGGTTGCGCGATGTGGGTTGATACCCCTGGGCGGGACGCGTGTCATTTCTTGCGTCTTGTCGGCCGGACCAAGTGCTCGGGTTGGTCTGGCGAGGGCGAGATCGGGATTTGCATCGATCTGCCAGGTGCCCAAAGTTTCTGCAGGCCTTGCAGTAGAGGCGCCGCGGCCATCGCTCTTCAGTGTTGTCGGCGTAGAAGGCGAGGCGTTCCCTGTCTCGTCGCGGCGCTGGTCGCTGCTGGTCCATATCCCGTTGTTCGACGAGGAGGGTGGCGTAAAAGGCGGCCTCTGAGATGACCCCCTGCTGTCGGAGGAGCGCCTTGCAGGGCCGCCACTCTGGGCCGAGCCCTTGAAGCACGATGCTCACGAAGATTTCTTCGAAAATATTGCTTCCCAGCTTCGCGATTTGATCGCGGAGGCTCCGACAACGATTGATGTAGCTGTTGACCTTCTCCCCAGTAGCCATTTTTTGTCTCCAGTAGCTGCTGGAGCAGGCGGCTCGAAGAAACTGAGTCCTTCGGTTGGTAGACCCCGTTCAGGTGGCGCCAATCGTCGAGGGCGGGAGTAGCCATAGTCTTGTACGATCGAATGTTCGGTTGCTCCGCTGGCGACATGTTGCGCAGTAAGACCCCGTACGCCACCAGGGACAAGTTGTAGTATTTTGCCCTGGCGTCGTCGGTGTCTTCAGTGGGTCAAGAGTAGCTCCCGTCGAAATAATGAAAAATCTGCGCGTTTTGCAGCAGCAGCTCCAGCTCGAAGCTCCAAGTATAGAAGTCTCTTCCGTCAAAGCACACACCTATCTTCATTTCTGATATGCTCAAAAAGAATTTCTTCTTCGCTGGGACGGAGAGTCTTGGGTGTTGAGCCATTTGTGTCGAGGGAGAAAGTGTGCGGGGCGAAATTTTGGCCGTTCGAGGCCGGTTGAGTGGGTTGGGAAGATGTTCCCGCATCGCCATTCCGCAATGTTTGGAGTCCTTGCCCCAGGCTTGTGAGTCGCTGAAGCAATTGTACGAGGACGGCAGGAATCGTCGTCGTTTCCTCGTTTGTCGCAGCCGGGTTGGTCTGCGCTTCAGCCGTCAGATTTGTCTGACCTCCAGATCCTCCGGCCATTCTCACACGTGAGCGTGTGCCGGACGCCACTTTTCGTTCGCTGAAAGTTTCGGAGGTGGCAGTGCGAAGGATTCCCGAGTCGCTCTCATACCATGTTCAGGGCCCAAAATTGGTTTAGGCCTACCCTTACAAATCAGGGTTACAGCCCCTCCTTAACCAGACACCTAGGGTAAAAATTTCCGTACCTTGTTTGCAGCAGGGTAATTCAACCTCTAGCTTGATTTGAGCGGGGTAGTTTTCGGCTAATCCTGTTTCGGCTACTGGTTTGTGAGTGTGGCGTGGCGACGTGTGGCTGGATTCAAGGGTGCGTGGGCAGTCCTGTTGGAGAAACAACCAATGAGGCGACATGGCGTGTCACCGACAACGAACTAGGGTTTTATGCCAGCGGTTACAAGCGGCAACACTTGTTTGTGTGGGTGTGGTACAGTTTGTCACCACTCGGAGTATAGCCTGATCCGCAGTAAAAAAATTTCGGTATCAGGGTAGTGTACACCCAACCCTGACACCGTCAGGGTAACCATAAATCCTATCAGTGTAAAAGAAAACATGCTCTTTTTGCAAAAGGGTAACTATCGTGGAATCCTGATTTTGGCAGGGTAATTTTGAAAAAGCGGCCAGCCCCCAAGGTAATCAGGGCGTTTTACCTTGATATTTTGGGCCCTGACCATGTTGTGATCAGAAGTTTATCGTAGCCACGATCACCCGAAGAAGGTTCGCACACTACTGATTTAGTGGTGGTGGGCCCTTGACCTCAATAGCAGAGTGAATGTAAATGCTTGAGATGATAAAAACATGCAAATACAGCACTATAAGTAAGAGTACAGGGGAATACCAATCGACCTAGCTTGCCATGTACTCTAAGGGGTGTATTCCCTTATTACAGCGAAACTCAACCGTGCGACTCCAGGTGGTTACGAAACTGTTCGGGCAGAATCCTCGCCACTGCTGCTGCCTGATGCTGTCTGCACGACGATCCAGATGCTTTCGTAACCGTACGACCCTTCGCATCACTTGCGCCCTTTCGACTTCATCTTCGATAGTGCCTGCTTCGCTAGCTTCGGTAAGGAGTGCACAATAGTTCATTCATATTTCACTATTCGTAACACTCCGGACCTCCGCCTCGACATTTCCCAACCTTGGCGCTAGGCCCGTCGCTCACCCCATCTTCACAGAAGATTACCATTAACACTGTAGTTTCGCTATATATTCTTCGTTCATGCCTTAGCTTATTGTACTCTTGATTCGATAGTGCAATACTCGTTTGTTCACTCAATTGAACTCGTAACAGGTTTTCACCACGCCCTCTCATCCTCCCTGCTGCTGACGATGATTGACTCGGGCGACTGCGACACCCACTTTTTGTGCCAACACATCTCCTCTCCACCCAGCTTTGGTCTGTTTCACAAATTTCTCTAGTGAATCCCAACAATTGGGCTTAGCGACCACTTGTTCGTCACAAGCTATTTCCGAAGCTATTTTCTCGAGCAGCCCTACATCAGTCGAGAATAATAGCCACTTTTTACGATTTCCGAGCGACCTTCGCAAAGCAGCACATGGCGAAACAGACGCCATGCGGAGGAGCCCCACCAGCCCCGCCGCGCTGCCGCCACCGCCATCCCCGGCGCCGCTGCTTTCCATCCGCGGCGCCAGCAGCGCCGCACCTGCCCCTTGTGCTACTAGCACTGCTCCTCCCGTCTCTGCTCCTGCCGTCCGACCAACTGCCACCCGTCTTGGCACAGGTCGCACCCGTGACGGTGAGTTTTCGTAGCGCAAGAAATGCTTGCATCACTGTCGCGGGCCACGCAATCGCAATGTTGCAATTCGACTGTGACGTGGTTAGGTGACTCGTATTTATTTTTAGAGTGACTAGTAGTCGTCCAGTTTCTTTCAGGTTGTTACCTCTCGGTTTTGTTGAGTCAAAGTCACTTTTGAGTAACCCTCACAGATGTTTTCATCCCGTGACTATACTATGCTTTCATCTCTGTTGTTTTTTTCGTAGGGTTTTCCGCAATCTATATTTTTCGCAATGTGGAGACGCAGCGGATGCCCTTCAACACAAGCGCGCAGGCGTTAAGAGTAGCGTCGTTGTTTGTGTTGTGTCTGCAGCTGCTGTGGGTCATCTGCATGCGCTTTTTGCTCTTGAGACACAAGCGCTCACATTTTCGAGCGCAAGCACTCACATTGAAGTGTACTCCATTCTCTGTTGCCTCGCCTCATCTCCGCCACCGCCCTTTCTCTCCTCCTCTCCCCCACCCCCCTCCCCCCCCTCCCCCCCCCCCTGTTTGTCCGACGCGGGAGTCCTCGCACGCGGCAGGTTCCAGTCGTGGTCCCCATTCCTAGGGAAAAACTTCTGTTGATGTTGTGCATGGTTGCCAACACGATGTGTGCCGTGAGAGATTACACCTGCTACGCCTACAACACCTCCTCCGTCTATAACTGCTCCTGCAACTCCGCGCGCCCCGCCTGCACCAAATCCAGAAGTACGATCATGGTCCTCTTGAGTGGAATGATGGGACAGACATACTGACTTGCATAGACGTCCATGCCCACCCCCTTCCTCTCACTGTATTCCAGAGAACCTCTACTGCCCCGCCCTCGCTCCCTCCCGCCCTCCTTCTCTCCCTCTCTCCCTCCCTCCCGTCCTCCGTTCCCCACCCGGCCTCGCCGCGCCCACTTGTGAGCAGAGTCATCGCGCATGTGCACGAACCCTACATCTGGCCCTTGTCTGCCGGGCGTCTGCCGCAACAGCACCACGTCCTTCCAGGGTTGCATCTGCCCCAAAGGCTTCTTCCAAACCACCACCCCTGCTGGCATCCCCTACTGCGCTCCCGGTAAACTTCCCGACCAAAAATTGATCACGCATGAGGAGCGTCGAGAAGACTGCGCGTCTCTCACACCTCCACCACGCGTGCAGTGCAAGTTGTGGGTGCATGCTTTGGGTTGAACTCACAGCGCCAGCACTGCAGACTTGCCAGTTCAAGCGCTCGAGTCAGAGGCAGTCCTGTGAATTGCGATGAGCGTAATAGCTGCTGGTAGTCTCAAGAGGGATTAGAAGCTAATTTGCTCCTGATGGTGCTGCCTTGATCATCGCAATGCTCTGTTTGCGTGCTCCTGGTGACGCTGGTGCTGCGCAGGCATGCACGCAGTGTGAGGCACGAAGGTGTGGTGCATGCCGTGGTGACACAAAGGCTTAAGGCGAAAGCAAGAACCATAAGGCCTCAACGCAGGAAAAGCGTACATGAGAGACTGCGTGTGCATGTCATAGATGTGCCATGAATCTATAAGCCTGGTGTTTCTTCCCTTGCCATAGGCCAGCCAACTCCCATTCCACCATGCCCGTGTGTTATTGCCTCTTCCTCGGGTTCCACTGGAAGGGCGTACATTAAGCTCCGTGAATCTTGAAGCGCCTGGTGCTTCTTCCCGTGCCATAGGCCAGCCATCTCCCATTCCTCGGTTCCCGCGTGTCATTGTCTCTTCCCCGGGTTCCCATTGTGCAGGTACTTCGTCTGTTGGCGGGTCATCACCACCATCCACCCCGTCCCCACCACCATCACGACCACCACCACTGTCACCGTCGCCATCAGCACCATCATCAGCACCATCATCAGCACCATCATCAGCATCACCATCAGCACCACCATCCGCACCACCATCCGCACCACCATCCGCACCACCATCCGCACCACCATCCGCACCACCATCCGCACCACCATCCGCACCACCATCCGCACCTCCGAGTTCGAAGTCAGGCACGCAAGACACCTCCTCTCAGTCACCCTTGGCAGGCCAGCCGCCCTCTGCAGGTGGGTGACCCAGCCTGCTGCAACAACACCCTCAGGCTCGCTCTTCTCTCCAGGCACCCCAGCCCCACTAGTTGTCTGCATGTCGCCCCGCCAGTGCTTCCATACCGCCGCACCACGTGCCAATCATTTGTGGTCTCTCAACCATGAGCAATGTGCTAACACCATCTCGTGCACGATAGAGCATTCCTCTTCGCTTGACTTCGTCCCATTACATTGGCCCCTGCGTGCTCTTCACTCTTCACAGATTCATCGCCAAGCGTGCCACCTGGGGTTATAGCAGCGATTGCGGCCGGCATTGTTTGTCTTGTGCTGCTTCTTTTCCTGGTCGGTTTCTTTGTGTGGCGACGCCGACAGCGCAAGGAGCATCATGATCACGAGAGTGCTGCGGTGCAAAAGGCCTTGAAGGCAGGAGCACGGGACAATGACGAGGAGGAGGGTCGACCAGGTACGACTACAGATAAGCTTCTGATACATTCGTGACAAGTCTGAAGCCTAGACTGTTGCTGAAATCCCAGCTTGCATCTCTTCTTCCTTCAAAACATCCTCCCAACATCCCTGCTTGTAACTCGACATCTTCATAGCCTCATTTCCCCATGGCCCACTATCTTTGCCGTCCCTTCTCCTCCCCGCCTCCCCGAAGCAGCAGTCCCAGCAGCAGCGGGCGGCCCTGTGGTGTGTCGGGAGCTGCCGTACTGGGAGGTGGTGAAGGCAACCAATGAGTGGTCGCCAGGCAACCTGATCGGGCACGGGGGCTATGGCGACGTGTACCGGGGAGTGGCGCCTTCAGATGGGTGCACCGTGTGGGCTGTGAAGCGCGCCCGCGTCATCACCAAGGACTTCCGCCGAGAGGTGCGCGCGTGGGTGCAAGCGCCAACTATTCAATCACGGTGGCATGGGCGCTGCTCCCCTGCCTGCCTCCCGTCAGGATGAGTGCCAATAAAAATGTGTGCTTATTCTTACGGGAAGAATCAGAGGAGAGAGAGTAGTTGTGAGGGGGTGAAGAGGAGACATACGGGAGTTGTGTGGTTGCGGCGTGTTTGTAGTGAATGTGTGCAATGCTCCCTAGCTATAACTGCCATAGCGCACTTTCCGAATTGCCATCCTGAATTTTGATCAAAAGAAGTGGAAGGTGTATGACGACCCTAGGAATGTGACACGACTCGATTGGATTGTGTGCACTGAATGGCCTCAATTATCCTGAGCAGTGAGCACCCAGCACTTTCCACTTCCTGGTGACTCCATTCAAGTAATATCTCTCCCAGCTTTTTCTTTTTTGCCCTCAGAATACCACACTCCAGACAGCACACACGTGGGTACAAAGGTTGGCATAATCTGTTTCCGTCAGTCTAGTCATAACTTGGTAAGTGCACAACACAGCACGCATGTTCAATGCATTGACAACTACCATCAGATGGCATGGTGCATGACGTGGCATGGTGCATGATGTGACATGGTGCATGACGTGGCATGGTGCATGACTTGGCATGGCAGGTGGAGCAGATGGCATCGAAGCACCACTCGCACCTGGTGCGGCTGCTGGGGTACTGTGTGCACATGGATGCGCGCACGGAGCAGCACGAGCAGATCGTCGTCTACGAGTTCATGGGGGGAGGAGACCTGCAAGCCTGCATGCCCGCCCACCTCGCTGATGCGGCTCAGATCGCCTTCCTAGGGTGTCCGGACATTGAAGTGGGGACAGCGAAAAGTGCATTCCGCACGTGCAAGGCATTGGGGTTTGTGATGAGGTGGCGGGGGGACGAATGTGGACGTCGCAGGTTGGGATGAGCGCCCCAACGTGCGATGGCTATGCGGTCGTAGAAGGGGATGGATTCGTGCAGTCTCTGTTGATTGGCCGATGGAATGTTGAGTCTCGAAACGGTCGCACACACAGGAGTTGGTGAGGTCGTGAGAGCATCTTTTGCGCTGCCACGCTGGAACCACTGCGGTGCACTTTTGGGGGCTGTCCTCTCCCAAGGTGGGGTGTGCGGGGAGGGAGGGGAGTGTGGGAAGGGTGGGGAGTGTGGGAAGGGTGGGGAGTGTGGGAAGGGTGGGAAGGGTGGAAGGGTGGGGAGTGTGGGAAGGGTGGGGAGTGTGGCAAGGGTGGGAAGGGTGGGGAGTGTGGAAAGGGTGGGAAGTGTGGGAAGGGTGGGGAGTGTGGGAAGGGTGGGGAGTGTGGAAAGGGAAGGGTGGGGAGTGTGGGAAGGATGAGAAGAGGAGTTGAAGGTGACCGTGAAAGCATTGGTACACCGTGCAATTGCAGGTGCAAGTGTGAACAAGCCATCTCACTATCCCCATAGCAAATCCCATCATGCCTCTCCCTTCCCCACCTCCCATCGCACACACACTCCCAGGCGCCACACGGGCGCCTCTGTCGTTGCAGCAGCGTCTGCAGGTGCTGCTGGGAGTGGCCCGTGGGCTGCAGTACCTGCACAGCTTTGGCATCGTGCACCGCGACATCAAACCCGCTAACATCCTGCTCGACGCCCACATGACGGTCAGCACACACATATGCACGCAGACATGCATGCACGCACGCACGCACGCACGCACACATGCCATGCAAGTATGCTCAAGCACACACAATTGCAAATTACCTCTCCTCTCGTACGCAATGTGTGTTATTCCGGTTGTGATCTGCCTCCCCTCCCTTCTCCTCTCCACACTGCATCCTCCCGCCACGCCTCTACAACATGACAGGCCAAGGTGGCGGACTTTGGGCTGGTGAGGATGGGCGATGAGAGCACGGGTGACACGACACGCATTCTCGGCACACCGGGCTATGTGGACCCCGCATACTCCAAGTCGCGCAAGGCCGCCCCCTCCAACGACGTGTACAGGTGGGCCGCGCCTGCTGCTACAGTGACTGGTGGAATGCCGATGGCCGGTGGTACAGTGCGGTGTGCTTGGTAGAATGGTCTGGTGGTGTGTGCTGTGCTGGTACCAGTGAGTGCGAATCTCGTAGACACCCTGATTCAAGTTCCAACAAAGTGGTGCGTAGGTGGTGCTAGCTGGCAAGCACTGTGGGTCATTCTGGTGGATGGATGTTAATCCATGCTGCACCGCTGTCCACTCCTGGCAGTTTTGTATTTTCTTCTTGTTTTTTTTGTGTTCTTGGTTTTCTGCTTTTCTTTCTGCCGCGTCGACTGCAATGTTATGCTTAATGATGCGTTCATTCCACTCGGATGTTTCCATTTTCAAGGCTGATACATACACCTCACCAGCCTATGCAACCCATGTTGCGTCTTCACTCTCTTTGTGGCACTGTGTCTTATGACATGGGCCAATGTGGTGCATCCACTGGCATGTTGAAATGTATGCATGCTGTGTGTGGCATTGGTGGAAATGGGGTGTGCACATGGCATGAGCAGCTATGGCATAGTCATGTTGGAACTCTTGACATCCCAGAGAGCAATTGTCCAGGAGGGAGATCACAACATCAACATCAGGCAATGGGTAATCTCTGCACTTTGCACTAGCCTTGGGCACATCAATCTGAGTCTATTCCGCCCATTGGACCCTTTTTTTTTTTTTTTTTTTTTTTTTTTTTTTTTGGGTGTGTTTCCTGCCCCTCAGTCTTGTCATAAAATGTCATTTTAATTCTGACTTCCCTGCCCATGAAATGATATTGTTTCAACTTGTTTTTGCCTTTGCAATGCATGCCCTTCCAGGCGGAGCCACTGCTGGCAGCATTGGACGTTGAAACCCTCAAAGACCCATGCCTTGATGCTCCGTCTGAGGTCATTCTTCAGCTGACCCAGCTGGCCCTGCAGTGCACAAGCATGCCTGTATCAAGCCGGCCCCACATGGACCAAGTTGTTGTCAGACTGTCTGACATGTATGCGAAGCTCTTCGGGTCTGGAGAAGGTGCGGGGGAGTCTGTTGACTCGATTCTTCAGCGTGTTCAACATCCAGATTACTCGTTAGATGAGGCGATTGCAATGGCTGGTGCTGCAGAATTCCAAGGATCTTCTGTCTAGTACAGCAATATGTCTTCCGGACATCGTAGGACTACACCCTTGAGTACACTAGCCTACTAAAGTATACAGACAAGTACGGCATCCTGTAGAGTGTAGTCCCCTCCAGCCTCCCCTCCTCCCCTCTCCTTCCTTCCAAACTATCAAGACCAGGGTCCACCAAAGAAAGGGAGGGCGGAGGTGGTTGATGGGGAGGGGAGGGGGGAGGATAAGGGGGGAGAGAGGGGGAAGGGGAGTGTTTGTTGTAGATAACATAATTATCTTACATTTAAGTTATTTTCATTGTAAAAGTATTTTCGTAGTACAATACTTGCTCGATACAATACAAAGTATCGTGACGAACCTTCGTGCTACCATCATATGCGGTACCGTATGCTGGTACTTGCTAAAGTACCAGATAGTCATGCAGCTGGAGAGCAGGGCCCAAAATTGGTTTTGGCCCACCCTGTCAAATCAGAGTTCCAGGGTGGGCCAACCCTGACTCCTAGGGTAAAAAATTTCGTACCCTGATGAAAACAGGGTAAAAAAAATTCGTACTCTGATTCCTTGTAACAGTCCATATTTATAACAATAAGAACATTGCAAGTTGAAGTGTTTCACTCGGTCAGAGGCGAAGTTGTGAGAGGAAAGATTTCAAGTTCAATGCTCGCATTGGGAAATACCGTATCACCCCGGATAAAAGCGCAGGTGCGCTTATAATAAAACAGTGTTTTTTAGGGGGGTGCGCTTGTAATTGCGTCATTTGTATAAGCGCATGCGCTTATATTATGACATTGAATTGTAATTTTAAGACACCAAATTGTATATTTCACTCTTGCCATTTCAACAGAGTCGTTTTTTTTTCCCGTCACAAAGCAGAATCGCGTGCAAGCGATTCTCTTCCAGCACAGAGGGGCCAAGATGCGACACTTTGCAGTCATGCCACCACATCCTGACTGGACGCGCAGCCAGTCAGGTCTTCGAGAGTCAAGCTAGGCGAAAATGAGATTGTACTCGCTTCGAAATTGAAACTCGCTAAAGTTTTAAACAGAAATTTTGATTTAAAATTGTACATGCGCTTATAAAAAGTAATGTTTTCACAGGGGGTGCGCTTATAATTGAGGATCGGCCATAAGCGCATTGCTCCAGATAGAAGCGCACGCGCTTATCATAGGCCTGCGCTTCTATCCGGGGTGATACGGTAAGCGTAGTGCACTACTTTTCGGTGCCATTTTGCGCAACATCCACTATATCCTCGCTACGAAAGACTCGGTATCAGTGTAACAGGATTAAAACACTGATGAAAGTCAGGGGAAACAATCTATAGCTCGGAATTCATAAGGGTACAAAAAATCAAACTCTTTATGAGTCAGGGTAAGAAATCCGGGAGCCTGACTGGGTCAGGGTAACCCCAAAAAAAGCGGCCGCCAGTCAGGGCAATCAGGGTATTTTACCCTGACATTTTGGGGCCTGCTGGAGAGGCCCGCAAATGTTTTGTGGGGAGAAAAAACAAAAATTAGGTTGAGGGTGGTATTCAAAGTAGCACTTAGCGGAATGGGGAGTGAAGTGAACTACGATAGCTAGCATGAGATACTGTTATAACTGAAAGATCGCAGTGGATAGGATAAAGCTGCTAAGTACCGTATCACCCCGGATAAAAGCGCAGGTGCGCTTATAATAAAACAGTGTTTTTTAGGGGGGTGCGCTTGTAATTGAGTCATTTGTATAAGCGCATGCGCTTATATTATGACATTGAATTGTAATTTTAAGACACCAAATTGTATATTTCACTCTTGCCATTTCAACCGAGTCGTTTTTTTTTCCCGTCACAAAGCAGAATCGCGTGCAAGCGATTCTCTTCCAGCACAGAGGGGCCAAGATGCGACACTTTGCAGTCATGCCACCACATCCTTGTCAGATTTATATGACATAGCTACTGTAGGCTATAGTGGGGTAGCACATATGGGGTACAGTTTTCTAGGGTTTGCTTTTTGTACCCAACTTCCACTTAGTCATTTCATTCCTCGTTTCTTTTCATGGTATCGAGCAGGTTCCCTAGTGGGAACGATTCCTAGGGCCCACCACCACGAAATTTTTTTCCTGCCCGGAGCGCGCTTCGCTCCGGCCCGAGTCGCGCCCTGTGTGCTCTCCCTACCGTCGCGCCCTCGCTAGGCCCCTCACGGCCCCGTCGCGTCGCCCTTAGCGACCCTCTCACGGCTCCCTAGCGCCGCCCTTACGGCTCGTCGCGCCGCCCTTACGGCCCGTCGCGCCGCCCTTACGGCCCGTCGCGCCGCCCCTACGGCCCGTCGCGCCCGTCGCGCCGCCCTCACGGCCCCTCGTGCCACCCTTACGGCCCGTCGCGCCCGTCGCGCCGCCCTCACGGCCCCTTGCGCCGCCCTTACGCGCTACCCTTACGAGCCCCCCCCGCGGCCCCCTTCGGCCCCTCCCGTCGCCAGTCGGCCCCTTACGGCCCCCCCCCCCTCGCGGCCCCTCGAGCCGCCTTCCGCGGCCTCCTCACGGCCTGTCGCCGCCCTCGACGGCCCCTCGTGGCGCCCTTCGCGGCCTCTCCGCCGCTCTTCGCGGCCCCTAGCGGCCGGCAGCCGCCGTCCCTGAGGCAGCAGCCGCAGCCGTCTCTGCAGCAGCAATCGCCACAGCTTCTACGACTACTGCCACGGTCGTCACCAACCACACCAGCCGCCGAGCCGCCCAGCAGCCGAGCACCCGAGCCGCCGAGCAGCCCTGCACCCGAGCAGCCGAACCGCCCGGGCCGCCGAGTTGCCGAGCCGCCCGAGCCGCCCGAGCCGCCGAGTCGCCCGAGCCGCCCGAGCCGCCTTGTCGCCGACCCGTCGTCCTGCCGAGCCGCCGAGCCGCCCGAGCCGCCCTGTCCGGTAAGAGCAGCGCCTTTATCACTGCACTGCCCTTACCCTACTGTTCGCACTGCTAGTCTACTGCTGTCATGGCTACCCCTAGTGTCCTCGCCTTTGACGCTGAGGGTCGGGCCATTGACTTTGACGTCTGGGTAGATGACCTGCAGCTTTTCTTACAGTGCGATAGGGCAGACGGTCTCTCCCTCTTTGACCTCACCTCTGCTGCCTCTCCTGCCCCTGCTGCTGATGCCGACGCCACTGTTCGCTCACAGTGGGCCACACGCGATGCTGCTGCACGTCTAGCTGTGCGTCGCCACCTGCCTACCTCTGAGCGAGCGCACTTTAGCCAGTACAAGAGTGCTCTTGTACGACGCTGTAGTTGCGCGCTACTCCTCCCCTGCCACTGCTGCACTGAGCCGCCTCATGCTACCGTACCTCTTCCCTGACCTTGCTGCCTTTCCCACAGTCGCTGACCTCATTACGCACCTCCGCACTAGTGACACTCGCTACCGCGCTGCGCTTCCTGCTGAGTTCTGCGCCAAGAACCCCCCCCCCATGTACATCACCCTCTACTACATAGTCACCCGGCTCCCTGACTCCCTTCGCGTAGTCAGGGACCACTTCCTCTCAGTTTGCCCCACCACTCTCACCGTTGACCTCCTCGAGAAGGCCCTCCTAGCAGCAGAGAAGAGCATAGTCGCTGTAGGAGCCTCCCGTGGTGACCCTCGCACCCCCGTCTTTGAGGGGTGTTCCCCCTCCCCCCTTTTGCCCTCTGTTGCCTCTGCTGCTGCGGCCGACCTCGTTGGTCTCGAGTCGGTCGGCGCTGCGTCTGCCCCGAGCGGGAGACGCCGCACCGGCAAGGGCAAGGGGGGCAAGGGTGTTGGAGGGGCTGGCAGGGGTGGCGGAGGTGGCGGTGGCGGCAGTGGAGGGGGTGGGGGTGGTGGTGGGAGTGGTGGCGGGGGTGGAGGTGTCGGTGGCGGCAGTGGAGGCGGAGGCGGCGGCGGCGGTGGCGGTGGGAGCGGAGGTGGCGGAGGTGGCGGCGGTGGAGGAGGCAGCGGCGGAGGAGGTGGAGCTGGGCGGGGTGGCGCTGGGCAGAGGGTCGGCTCCGGTGGTGGTCAGCGCCAGCAGCAGCAGCAGCAGCAGCGGCAGCAGCGCACTCGTGACATCCCCCCCCCTCAGCAGCTCAGTGAGTGGTACGCTGCACGCCAGCGGGGTGGGGGTACTGGTCCGTGCACCTACGTCCTACGCACCGGCGCCCGCGCGGGTGAGCCGTGCGGGGGTGCGCACTCCACCACGCGCTGCTTTACCAGTGTTTTCCGCCCGACCCGGGCATTGAGACTGCTACTCTAGGTACTGGTGAGGCTGCTGCTCTAGGTGCTAGCGAGGCTGCTGCTCTAGGTGATCGTGCGTCTGCTCACTCAGGTGCTGGTGAGTCTGCTCTCTCAGGTACTGCGTCGGCTTCGGCCTCCCACACCTTCACCCTTGACTCGGGGGCTTCTCGCTCCTTCTTTCGAGACCGCACCACACTCACGCCGCTTGGCCGGCCAGTTGCAGTCTCTCTGGCAGACCCCTCTGGGGGTCCTGTCCTTGCTCACTTCTCCACTGTCCTCCCGTGTCCGGCGGCCCCCTCTGG